TAAATTAAACTAAACAAACACAATCAAATATATTTTTTTTGTTAGGGCAGAATGGTTTTTGGCGAAATTATTGCATACACAAATTTTCACTTGTCCAAAGGCAAAATGAACGTTTCTATTAAGCCAAGACGCAAGTTTGCCCATTTTGGGACGAAATATATTTAATTATATTTTTATAATAAATATTTTATTTATTAATTATATAAAAAATTTTATAAAATATTTAATTATATATAAATATATATGGGGACGTAAGACACATAAGCAACCGTTAGGGATCTTTATTCCGAAAGTTTCACCCACACAGAGCTCTTCAAACTAACAGAAAGTAGGGGAGGGCGTAAGGGTGTGAAACGATGTAATCGTCCATCACCCTTGGGTAATTTTTAGGGTTTCATCCCCAGCCTGGAGAAGTTCTATTTTATAGTTTTTAAAAAAATTGAAGTTCCAGCTACAATGCCCGTACTTTTTGGGGACCCTCGCAAGCCCCCCCAAACACTCAGGTGACCTTCCTCTCGAATTCCAACCCGAATGTTAAAAACAAAAGCATCAAATTTCCTTTAATTTCCCCGCCCCTTTACCCAAGTTCCTATGTTTGCCGCAATAAACTTCTGAACAGAGGCCCCATGAAAATACGACCCCCCTTTACCTCTTTTAATTTTATCGTGGATCTCTTTTTTTAATTTCAAATTCTTCAAGTATTAGGGAACTGCTACAAACAACACGGCACGCACGGCGGCAGCCCGCTCAGTTTCTGTGCTTTCCAAAACCCCTTTATGGGAAAAACCCAGAGACAAGAAATTCAGCAGCCTCATTTCCCAACACCCTTACCTTGGTAAGAACGTTGGTGATATATTGGTTTTTTATCAACACGTCCAAAATCCAGGCTCTCCCCAATGAGTCAAAGGCGCCGAACCCCAATTAAGTTTACACTTTAAAATCAAAAAACAACTTCCTTTTCCCCCGCGTCTTCCGTGCAGATCTTCCGACAGTGACAAACTTCTCTTCAAAGTGTATAGAAAACCTACCAACAAGGACGATCTTATTCATATCAAGACACCCGCACTAAAATAGGAGTCATCATTGGCTTCTTGAGAACTCATCGCATCTCCAGCCTTTGTTTTCTTGAAGAAGAATTAATCTACATAACACAAGCCTTTACACGTCTTCAGTTTCCATCTTTTTTTATCTGGGATTGTAGACTCAAGGCACAAGTTGTCCTCCATAAACCGCCCTTGGAACAGCCCTCTCAGCAGTGCATAGTGCTCCCATGTGGTAATGTTGCCACGAATGCTCGCGAGGCACTTACTAAGAGTAACATAAATTTTTCCACCATAAACACATCATCTATCAAAGACCTCACTACAAACGCAGCCCCACACCTCTGGCTTCCACAGCAGGCGTCTACACCATCCCCTGTGGATTCTGTCTCAAGAAATATGTAGGAGAGACAGAGATTTGGGGTCCGACTGAACGGGCATCGAAATGCCGGTAACAGAAACGACTTAAGGTACGCCTGTGTCCTCCACAGACACTCCACGGGGCATTTGATGAACTGGGATGAGCCACAACTCGTTCTCGCCGAACAAGACCTCAGACGCTGTCGGTGACTAGAAGCCTCACTAATCGCCGTCACCGACACAATAGAACGTAACACTGGAACCCACAAAATTTCCAAAACATTAGCATACATGATACTCACCGGGCAAAGCACCACCTACCCAGCAACACAGGAGTCACATGATCTCATCGTCTACCCGTCCTCATCCCAATATGGCATTCTTCAGGTCACCATGCGTCACTTACACCTCACTCTCCGCCTATACATACTGTCTTTTAACTTCTGTATGTTAGAAGTGATCAAGGTCTCAGGACCGAAACGTTTTCTAATAACATGTCCTAGTGTTTGCTTACAGGTTGGATAAATACATGAATGAGAGGGGATGGATTTGAGTGGGACTTGCACGTGAGTAAATAGATTTATCAGAACATATTGTTAGGGTAGCACTGAAAGTGGGTTGGGCAAATGTTCTGTTAGTGGGCTGGATATGTAAAGAACTTGCCAAGTATGGGCCAACAGGCCTGCTGCAGTTTTTTGTTTTTGTTTTAATGTTCTCCAGGTTTGGACCACGATAGAGGGAGACTTCTTTGGGACGAAATTGTTAGGGTTTCTAGAAACAAAAACGTAGTGATAGTAGGGGATTTTAACTTTAGTCAAATTAACTGGTCTTCTTTGACCGGTAATCTGGAGTCCAGTGAATTTATGGAAGTAGTTCAGGACTGTTTTCTGAAACTGTAACAGAGCCTAACAGAGGTGATAATTTGCTCGACCTAGTCTTGTCAAATAAAAAAAAAACTCGTAAATAATCTGGAAATCACTGAAGATCTTGGCGCAAGTGATCACAAATCCATTACTTTTAATATTACCTGGGAGTACGAGAATAAGGATAATACGGCAAAAGTCCTGATTTTCGTTCTGACGATTTTATTGGACTTAGGGAATACCTGTCTAATCCCGACTGGGGTAATCTAGTAATGATTTTATTGATGATGATTATACTTACGATTACGAAGGGATCTGCTTTTATGATATTTTCTTAATGATGTACAACTTGGTCAGAGTATATATATTCCACCGAGAGAAATTAGATAAAAAAATAACGATCCCAAAAGGTTAACAGGAGGTTAAAACATCAATTAGGGGAGAAAAGGGGAATTTATAAACGCATCAAAAGAGGAGAGGTTAACCTTATTGACAAATATGTTCAGTTTAAAAGAGAAGTAAAAAAGGGGATTAGAAAGGCTAAACGTGACTATGAAATTAGAGTTGCTAATGAATCAAAGCCTAATCTAAGTAATCTATTTGCCTTATTACGTACGCTTAGGCGTTGCTGTCTTGGTTTAAGGTTGCTGCTTACCGCAACCACCAAGTCCTTTATGCATTCTGTATGGCTAAGTTCAACATTATGAAGCTGATAGGTTCTAGGGTTATGAACATTCCCGAGCTTCAGAACTTCCCATTTATCCACATTAAACTGCATCTGCAGCTTTTCTGACCAGGAAATGAGTTTGTCTAAATCCTCCTGAAGTTCCGTGACTTCTACGTCTAAATCGATTATCCTATCTTCGTGTTATCAGCGAATTTGCTAATATCACTAGTAATACCCTCGTCAAGGTCACTGATATATATTATAAGTAACAATGGGTCTAAAACTGATCCCCGTGGAACGCCACTTGTTACAGATCCCATTCATGATTTAACCCCATTTTATGAACTCACTGCTTCCAATCGCGAGCAATGGACTCGACCCCGTGACAGCACATTCCCCCCTAGACAGCACTTTTTTTCCCCCATACAGCAACTTTTCCCCAATATATGCAATGATCGCGAACGAGCGATGAAAGAAAACGATTTGAGAGAATCGTTTTCCCTAAACGAATCGCCTGGGTTTCCTACTTTAATTCATAACATTTCAAGCTCCTTGATTGGCGTGTTTGAATTCGACACTAAATGACCCGGATCAGTCATTCGACTCCCGTGGCTATTATATATAATTATATAATAATATATATATATATTTATATAATAAAATATATATATATAATTATATATATATATAAATATATAAATATATAAATATATATATATATATAAATATATAAATATATATCATATTTATATATATATATAAATATATAAATATATAAATATATATATATATAAATATAACTTTGCAATCAATCTTCTTCAAATTATATTTTATATCGTTATTTTATTCCCATCTGGCGAATCATTTGTGATAAATAGAAAGTGAGACCAGAGAAGGTCAACAGTGACAATTTTCCGAAAAGACATTTTTTTTGTCCCCCTTTCATTATCTGTTTACATTTTCCCTCTCAACTGAAAATCATCATCCACGTAACAACCTGCCTTTTTGTTTCTATAACTATTTTTTTGTACATCCTGATAGTCTTTCCATGAAGAACCCTATCAAAAGGCCTTCATGATACTCATTACGTGATATATATATATATATATATATAAATATATATATATAAATATATATATATAAATATATATATATATAAATATAAATATATATATATATATATATTTGACGTGCCGAATATGTAAAACTGTCAATCAGCAAGAACTCATTTAAAATTAAGACCTTTCTAAAATTTTCTCTTATACGTATAAAGATATATTTTTTCATTAATGTTAAGTAAAAAATTGGAAATTTTTGCTCCAAAGGAATCTAAAAAACTTACCTAACTTATTATAACAAGAGCAATTTATTTTTTCTAACTACCCCAACTAAATAGTTTTTAGATATGTTTACAGTAAAATAATACTAAAACAAACACAGGGTGGAAAAATATTTTTTTTCGTAAGTTCGGAATGATTTTAGGCGAAATTATTTGCATACACAAAATTCGCCTTGTCCCAATAAGTGTCAAGATGAACTTTTGCTATTAAGCAAGGATCGCAAGTTCTGCCTATTTGGCACGACATATAGAAATATCTATATATATATATATATATTATATAAATATATATAGTATATTATAAATCTATATATCAAGGAATTATATATAGTAAAATAAAATATAGATTGTTATTGATGTGAGAGCTGTCTGTAGGTCTATCCAAACCAGCAAGTTCATAAAAAAATTTCTTCTTTTAGAAAACATCGCCTGAATCAAAATAGCTGCCCATGAAATCCCAATGAACTTCAGGGATGGGGGGGGGGTATCCTGACTCCAACTATTACCTCTTTGAATTCAACGTCAGATGGAATCCCTATCAACTTCCATTATCCTCCATTCATCTCCAATAAATCTACGACCCTGCCAAGGAACTCTCGTAACCTTCTCGTGACCCCAAGATGATCCAGCGATGCTCCTCCCTCATCACCTCTTAGTCTCTAATTACTTCACCAGCTCCCCGTAATTAACCTCGTTAACTGCTGTGACCTAAGATGACCTTGGAAACTTACCGTGACCCCTTCGAACTTGACCTCGGACAGTGCCTTGGTGAAGAGATCTTCCCATTCCGGGTCACGATAACTGAGGAGAAGAGAAATATTGTGCGTTATTTCAGTGTATCTTCACAAGTTAATAAATTTTAGAGTTTTGGTGATTGATGGTTAAGCAAATTTGGTCTAAATATTAAATATACTTTAGTGATAATATATTAATAGCTCTAATGATAAATAATAAAAATAATAATAATAATAATAATATAATAATAAAATAATAATAATAATAATAATAATAATAACAATTATTATTATTATTATTATTATTATTATTATTATTATTATTATTATTACAATAATGATGATAACAGCACAAATAATTGTTTTAAATAATAATAGAAATAATAACAAAAATAATTGTGATAATAAAACTATGATAGTAATATTTTATAATTTTGAATATTCATATTATATTGTTATTATTATTATTATTATTATTATTATTATTATTATTATTATTATTATTATTTATTATTATTATTATTATTATTATTTTTTATTATTATTTTTATTATTATTATTACTATTATTATTATTATTATTATTATTATTATTTTTATTTAAGCTAGTGCTGGATATTCATTTACTTTAATGTATAATTCGGTTATGCATTATTGTAAAATCGTTAAAGTCAGAACTATAAAATAGGCAGAATTATTCATTGTCCCACTGAAGGTGCAGATGCTATACATTGTCCCACTGAAGGTGCAGATGCTATACATTGTCCCACTGTTATTCGTTCTCATTTGTTATTCACAGTCATTCGTTATTCATATTCATTTATTCGCAAGCGTTCGTTATTCAAGATCCTACGTTATTCACATTCATTCCTTATTTACTGCCGCTTCTCTATCAGAGTAATGCGTTATTGAGAGCCGTTCGTTATTACAGTCATTCAATATTCGTAGTATTTCTTTATTCATTGTCATTCGTTATTCTTTGTTATTCGTTATTTATTTTCATTCGTAATCCTTAGTCATTCGATTTTCATTGTAATTCATCATTCTTAGACATTCGTTATTCACCGTCATTCATTATTCTCTGTCATTCGTTATTTATTGTCTCTCGTCATTCTTGGTCATTCGTTATTCATTGTCATTCCTAATTCCTTCTTATTCGCTGTTCTTTATCATTCGTTATTCCTAATCATTCGTTATTCTTTATTATTCGCTCTCCGCCATTCGCTATGTTTTATCATTCATTATTCTTCATTATTCATTATTCATTTCACTCGTTACTTTTACTCATTTGATATTCTTTATCATTCGTTATTTACTTTGTCATTCATTGTTCTGTATCATTTATTATTCTTTATTATTCATTGTTCGTTATCAATATTTAGTCTTTATTTTACGTTATCATTAGTTGTCCTTTGTCATTCGTTACTTTTAGTCATACGTCATTATCTTCTCATTCGTTATTCTTAACCATTGATTGTTTCCAACCATTCGTTATTCTCAGCCATTTGTTATTCCCAACCATTCGTTATTCCCAACCATTCGTTATTCCCAACCATTCGTTATTCCCAACCATTCGTTATTCCCAACCATTGTTATTCCCAACCCTTCGTTATTCCCAACCATTCGTTTTTCCCAACCATTCGTTATTCCCCAACCATTCGTTATTCCCAACCATTCGTTTTTCCCAACCATTCGTTATTCCCCAACCATTCGTTATTCCCAACCATTCGTTTTTTCCCAACCATTCGTTATTCCCAACCATTCGTTATTCCCAACCATTCGTTATTCCCAACCATTCGTTATTCCCAACCATTCGTTATTCCCAACCATTCGTTATTCCCAACCATTCGTTTTTTCCCAACCATTCGTTATTCCCAACCATTTTGTTATTCCCAACATTCGTTATTCCCAACCCTTCGTTATTTCCCCAAACCATTCGTTATTCCCAACCATTCGTTATTCCCAACCATTCGTTATTCCCAACCATTCGTTATTCCCAACCATTCGTTATTCCCAACCATTCGTTATTCCCCAAACCCTTCGTTATTCCCAACCATTCGTTTTTTCCCAACCATTCGTTATTCCCCCAAACCATTCGTTATTCCCCAAACCCTTCGTTATTCCAACCATTTGTTATTCCCAACCTTCGTTATTCCCAACCAATTCGTTATTCCCAACCATTCGTTATTCCCAACCATTCGTTATTCCCAACCATTCGTTATTCCCAACCATTCGTTATTCCCAACCATTCGTTATTCCCAACCATTCGTTATTCCCAACCATTCGTTTTTCCCACCATTTGTTATTTTCCCAACCATTCGTTATTCCCAACCATTCGTTATTTTCCCCAAACCCTTCGTTATTCCCAACCATTCGTTATTCCCAACCATTCGTTATTCCCAACCATTCGTTATTCCCAACCATTCGTTATTCCCAACCATTCGTTATTCCCAACCATTCGTTATTCTCAACCATTCGTTATTCCCAACCATTCGTTGTTCACTCATCATTCCTTCTAGCGAGTTGTTAAGCATTATTCGTGACCGGCAGCTGCTTGTCGTTCGTTCGTTAGTGGTGCGTTCATGTCGTTAAGTCGTACGTCAGTCTGGGACACACCCGTCACGCCAGGTGATCCGGTGTTACACTACGCTCCCCGTTAACTGTAAATAATAGATAATTGTTGGACGATAATCAGGCAATTATTTAGGGTGATTTAAGCACCTCATCTGTTCTAAGTGATACAGCAGAGTTGTTTTGTGGTAGATGCGGGATTTATTACCTTTCTATTTGCTTAGGAGAGAGAGAGACAGAGAGAGAAAGAGAGTTTTGAGACTCTTTGACCGCATGTTCAAACCCCACCCGTGGTATGGTTTGTTTGTAATCGTGTCATTACGATTTCGTGAGTCAGAGAGAGGGAGGGAAAGAGAGAGAGAGAGAGAGAGGGGAGAGAGTGAATGAGAGAGAGAGAGAAAGAGAGAGAGAAGGAGAGAGAGAGAGAGAGAGAGAGAGAGAGAGAGAGAGAGAAAGAGGAGAGAGAGAGAAAAGGAGAGAAGAGAGAGGAGAGAGAGAGAGAGAAGAGAAAATTAGAAATATTAAACAAGGTTATCCTCCAAATCTCTCTTTTTTTCTCTCTCTCGCTCTCTCCTTACACAGAATTTACAAAGGTTAGGTTTAGAGTTCTAATTTTATTTAAAAAGTTAAAGCTTTTACCAAAAACCCATTTGAAATTTTTAATTTTTAAGAGACATACAGAAGGAACCAAATAAAACTGCGCCAATGTTTCCTCTCTCTCTCTCCCCCCTCTCTCTCCTCTCTCTCCCCCTCTCTCCTCTCCCCCCCCCTCTACCTTTACCCTCCTTTTCTCTCTTTCCCCTTCCTGCTTTTTAGGGACAAAAAACTTATTCCTTTAAAATGGCCTCGGGGCTGTGTTGTCCCTCAGAGGAGAGCGCATAGCACACCCTAAAAATAAGGCCCCAACTTTACATAGAAATGGACCCGAAAGGGTGCCAGGGGACCACAAAACCACTAAAGAGACCACGGGAAAAGTGGACCACTCAAGAGGGCCACAGGGCCACACGGGTCAGCCAACCGTGGTTAACGTGTTGTTATGGTGTGGGGGGGTTGGGGGGGGATGGTGTAGGAGGGGGGGTTTTGGGGGGGGGGGGAAGGGAAGGTGTTGGAAGGGAGGATTGGGGGGGACGTTTGGGGGGGGGGGTTGGAGTGGGGGGGTAGGAGACGAGGATGGGGAGAAAAAGAATTTTGTTTTAAGTGTGTGGTGTGTTTGTTTATTGTTGTGTGGTGTATCACCCAGTTGAGGTTGCAAAAGGGGCCAGTGCAAGCTCCGGCCCGCCCCTTCCTGGTCGCACAGGTCACTCTCCCTGAACCTGAGTTTATCAACCTCTGTGGTGTGGTGTGTTGTGGTGTGTTGTGTGTGTGTGTTTGGGGTGTGTGTGTGGGTGTGTGTGGTGTGTGTGTGTTGTGTGTGTTGGTGTGGGGGGGTGTTGGTGTGTGTGTGTGTGTACTCCCCCAATTGAATCATCTAATTGTGTTGAGGGGTGAGACCTTTTCCGCCCACAGGTCCCCCTCCCTTCTGCTTTTCCCGAGCTTTGTGACCCCCTCTTTAAAAAATTATGGTTTGCCCCATACTCACTTGTGGTTATTTCCCCTTCCTACGACTCTATGACTGAAAAAAATACTTCCCAACGTCCCTGTGATCGTCTATCTTCAGTTCCCCAAATTTTGACCCCTTTTTTTGTTCCCTCTTGGAAATCCCGTCCGTCCACCTTTTCTATTCCCCCCGTATCTTTTATGTCGTTACATGTCTCCCCCGACCCCTTTTTTCCTCCAGTGTCGCAGTCCGATTTCCTCCCTTTCCCGTCGACTTCCCCCAGCTCTGGAACTAGCCTTGTTGCAAACCTTGTATTTTTCTAACTTCTTTACATGTTGACCCGGGTGGGGTTTCCCAAATGGTGTGCATACCCAGTATGGGCCTAACAACAAACGATTCCTTATTAAAGTACGGAACGCTATTTTCCAAAGGGTTTGCCAGGCCCCGTATGCGCAGCGGTTTTTTGGTTATGTGTGCCTCCGGAAGTCCGGGGTTATGGCGCCCAAGGTCTTTTTCCCCCGGTGAGGGGCTTATCTTTGTCCACCGCCTATACTCTTTTCTGCGGTCTTTCTTTGTCCTCTCCAAAAATGTGTGTGTGTGTGTGTGTGTGTGTGGGGTATCACCTATTTGTACTCACCCATTTGTGGTTTCAGGGGGCGGTCAAGTCCTGGCCCCCCCTCTCGCTGATTTCTACTAGGTCCCCCTCTCCCCGCCCCAGACTCTATCATACCCCGCCTTTTTAAAATATGTATGGTTCCCCCCTCCACTACGTCACTTTCTAGGCTATTCCCCGGCCCGATATTATGACTGAAGAAATACTTTCCAACATCCCTTTTATTTTCGAGTCTTCAACTTCCAATTGTGACCTCTGTGTCTGGTCCCTTCTCTGGAGGGACACAGAGTGGTGTGTGGTGTTTTTTTTACTGTAAATACTAGGTCCACTTTCCTGCCCGAGCTTTTCATACCCCTTCATAAACTATGATAAAATTTGCCTTTACTCATCACTCTCCAATTGTTTCACATCTACAACTCATGGCAAAGAAATACTAATATCCCTATACCTCGATTTTCAAACTTCCAGTTGTGCCCCCTTGCTGCATGCCCCCTCTCTGAAACATTCTGCCCCAACATCCTGTCTCAAACCGAGCCGGGGGGGCGTTGCCCCCCCGAAAAACCCCTTCCAGGTAAATCTCCAGGAAAAACCATATTCTCCCTATTTCCCCGTTTCCATGTTGTCAGGTTGAACCCCCTTAACCTCTCCTGTAGGACAAACCACGCGGTTCCGAGACTATTCTGCAACCTTTCGCACTTTCTCTAATTTTTTGACGTTTTTTGACCAGGTGGGTTAAAATTTTGGTGCTGCATACTCCAGTAGGGCCTACTATAGGGGTTTACATGTTGTGAAGACCTTTACATTCGAAACGCTGTTCTCGGGTTTGCCAGGCCCCCGTAGCGCACATTTTATTAGTTGACGGCGCCTCAGATGGCCGGTGATGTCACAGCAAGACCCTTGGTGATTTTTGCAGCCTTTGACCTCGAGGCGTACTTCCGCGGGGTCCTTTGTCCTTCCCCAAAACTTCATAACTTTGCACCCCCTGGGGTTAAACTCCAGGGGGCATCTGTCAGACGCTTGCAGTTGTTCAGATCCCTTGTAGGCTTACCTTATTCCTTCTGTTTGTATTCACCTCATTAGTTTCATATCTTCGCAAACGGGAAAAACCTTGACTCTGTCCCTTTCCGTCAATCCTTACATAACAAGAAAACAGACCGGACTAGGACTGACCCCCCTTTGGGAACCCCCCTCACACAAGCCCCCCCTGCACTCGTCTCTGACCGACACACGTTGTTCCTTCTATCAGGTATTTCCGATCCTTTTCAGACTTTTCCCCCCTATTCCCGCCTGCTCCTCCATTTTTTTTAAACCATCTTTTGTGTTAAGTGTAGAAAGCATTCTTTTTCAGTCCAAGAAGAGCAGTCCCACCATCCCCTTTCTCTTCTGCTTGCTACCTTGTCAAGAACAAGAACAGTGGTTTTGTGAGCAGGATTTTCCTTTCCCCGAAGCCCGGCTGGCTGTCATGTTAGTTCATTCCATTTTAGGTGCTCCACTATTCTTCTGATAATCTTCTCCATAAAATTTACATACAAAACATTCAGCGACCTGGTCTGTATTTAGTGCTGTTGTCTGTCTACTTTTTTAAAAACGGGACTACGTTTCTGTCTTCCACACTTCAGGGAAATTGCCCTGTTTTTGATAGATTATTTGAGATTGTTTTTTAGTGGCACCCACAGTTCGCTGCTCCCCTCCAGGGCCAAAGAGGAGTAAACGGGAAACCCCCACCTTCGAGGGATCTAATTCCCTAGCATTTCTTTTTTCATCTTCTGCTGTGTGCAGTGTGTCCGCACTTTTGGTCCCCCCTACCACCTAGGGGTTTTTAGGGGAAAACCTGTATGACTGTAAGTGTGTTGTTCTGTTAGGTCTTTTTCGGTGAATATATATAGAGCAAATACACAAGTGCACACGCAACAAAACTCACACACACACACACACACACACACACACACACACACACACACACACACACACACACACACACACACACACACACACACACACACAAGCACACACACACACAACACCTCACCTGAAGTCCTGAACGGTTTTGTTGGTTTTATTGTGGTGATTGATGCGATGTAACTTATGGCCCACCGCCTGTATGGCCAGGGCCATGGCCCACACTCCGTCGTAGGTGTACCCGTGGAACCTCGAGTACTCTGACCGCCTCAGTTCATTGTATTCTCTCTCGTACTCTGAGATGTTCTGCGGGGAGAGAGAAAGAAAGAGAAAAGAGAGAGAGAGAGGAGAGAGAGAGAGGAGAGAGAGAGAGAGAGAGAGAAGAGAGGAGAGAGAGAGAGAGAGAGAGAGAGAGAGAAAGAGAGGGAGAGAGACATTTGTACAGAAAGTGAGTTATAGAGGAGGGTAGGGAGAGAAGGAATGAATGAGAGAGGGAGAGAGAGAGAGAGAGAGAGAATATGAAATACAATACAATCCAAAAAACAGACGATTGCAACATATATTGAGCAAAATTATCAAAAAAGTTCAAAACTAACGTGGTGAACATTTCTTAAAATTAAATTCAAAGAATATTAATGACAATTTTATCAGAGTAAAGATATTAAAGATCTCGTATTTACCCAAAAAAAGATAGTTTAAACTTTCGTTAAATAATCTGATGGAGTTTAGACTTAACTTGATAAGAAAGAGTGAATTTCATATATAAATTTTTATGTGGATGAGGTTCAAAAACAACAACAGTGACGACAACAACAGTGACGACAACATCAGTGACGACAACAACAGTGACGACAACAACAGTGACGACAACAACAGTGACGACAACAACAGTGACGACAACAACAGTGACGACAACAACAGTGACGACAACAACAGTGACGACAACAACAGTGACGACAACAACAGTGACGACAACAACAGTGACGACAACAACAACAACGACAGCAGCGATAACAGCAACAATAAAAACAACTACAACAATACTGAGATATATAAAAAAATTAAATATTAGTAAAACAATAATGATAATATTTTTAATAAATAATAATAATAACAAAAATAAAATAATAATAATAATAATAATAATAATAATAATAATAATAATAATAATCATAATAATAATAAAATTATAATAAATACCAAATAATACTAATAATAATAATAATAATAATAATAATAATAATAATAATAATAATAATAATAAAAATAATAATAATAATAATAATAAAATAATAATATTATATTAATAATGATGATATAACATAATAATAATAAAATAATAATAATAATAAACTAATACATAATAATAATAATAATAATAATAATAATAATAATAATAATAATTACAATAATAATACAGTGTCATTTATAATGCAAGTTGCTTGGGAACTTAAACTGGTGTAAAAAGTAGATTTAGCCACTTACATACAAGGGCACTGACTAAATTACAGCATCTGTAAAGTGGTACTGCCAACGGTTCCCAATCGAAGGACCTGGGTTTGATTTTGGGAGGGTGGTGATGTAGGGCATTTTTTTGTGCCCAATATTAAAGATATTATACCAGAAATTTTGAAAATATTACCTTAACTTGTCAGCAAAAAATTAGTTTGTGTACCTGTCCATGTCTCAATTTCTCACATAAGAACTTTTCAATTTTATTGCCTATGGAGTGCATCTTAAAATGGTTACTAACATACCTAGGATAGATATGGTGAGGAGTGTGCTGTCGACTACCATAAGCTGGATAGGTATGGGGTTTACAATAAACTAGCCACTACCATACATAAGATAGACAGGGGGGTGAGCAATAAGGCAAACATTACCATGAATACGATAGGTATGGGGGTACAATGTACTAGTCATCATGATCGACAAGATAGACATAGGATGCACGATTTAAATTCAGTTCTTCTCCAGTCATTCTAATATTTTCATTATATTGTTCCCTTTGCTGTCCCCTTAATTAACATCCCCCTCTCTCTTTTTTTTTTTTTTTTTTTTACACAGGGTTTGCCAAGGTTAAGGATCCCTAGCTTTATTGACAAGCTATTTACAGGTTAAGGATTCGTAACTTTATTGGCAAGCTAAGAGCTGTTACCTACATCAGCTCATTTGAAAGCATTTTTATTGTTATGAGACACAAGTAGGGAATAGGATGAAGTTGGAGCCATCTGTGGGCCAGCATTTTCATTTGATCAGCTGACTTTATCTCGTTGACATCATTATGCTGTACGAATGTGTTCCATACTCGAGTCATCCTGGGTATATATAATCTCAGATGGAGTAATGTTCTGGAGAAGGGTACAGCCAGAGTGAAGTTGTTGTTTTCTGCCCGTCTTGTGGCATAAAAGCTTGTTTCACGCTGTCCTCGAAGTGGATCCAAGTGTGGTACTTGACAATATTGGCCTTACATAACAGTAAGGCCACCACATCCCTTCTGTGTTGAAGGCTCTGCTGAAATGACAGATTATCCAGGATGGATCCAGGCGAGAGATGAGACGTCTTGCTCTGTTCTCTACTCTGTCAAGCAGTCGCAGATGAGAGGGGAGGCAGGCAAACCAAGAAAGTGGAGCATACTCAAGGTGTGGGCGTACTTGTGCCTCGTACAGATCTTGCAACCCCTACGGTCAAGCAGTGCGAGATACGGCGAAAGTGCTGTAAGCTTCCTGGCTGACTTGTTTGCAAGATTTACAACATGGTTTTCATGGTTAGTTTGGAGTCAACATTTCACCCCAAGGATATCAACTTCTTCTCCAGTGCCAACACCCTCCCATTCATCCTTACTACTGCACAGCATTACCATCATGGTGCTAGAGACCATCATCATTTGCGTTTTCTCAGGTGCAAATGTTACTTGCCATCTATTTCCCCAAGCTGATATAGCTCTTAGCTGGTGATTGATGTAGCTTAGAGCAGCTGGCATTTCTTCTCTTGGATAAGTGAATGTCAGTGTACAGTCGTCTGCATATGCATGGGATTCTGGAATGAGATGAAGAAGGTCGTTGAAGTAGACATTCCATAACAATGGTCCCAGCACGCTTCCCTGTGGAACACTTGCCCCAATAGGATGTCTTGCTGATTCCGTTCCATTGAGAACTACGCTTAGAGATCTACCATGAAGGTAATCACTGAGGAGACATAGCGTAGAGCCTGCTTGAAGTTTTACTAAGAGGCCCTGGTGCCACACCCGGTCGAAAGCACCAGCAATGTCCAGTGCTACCACAAAGCTGACTTTGGATTCATTCAGTGACTGGTGCCACTTAGTGGAGAGGTTTAACAACAGATCAGCAGCAGAGTAACCTTTCTTGAAGCCATATTGACGATCACAAAGTAGTGAGTTGTAGTCAAAAAAACTCTGTCATTTGTCTTGAGATTATTGTCTCAAGGATCTTACCAGTGATTGACAGGAGTGACACTGGTCTGTAGTTGCTGATTTCTGCTCTGCTCTTCTTTTTGTGAACAGGGACTACATTTGCCTCTTTCCATAGAGAGGGCCATTTACACTGTACTAGGCAGTGCTGAAAGATGCGAGTTAGAGGTGCTGCTAGCTGGTCTGCACATCTCAACAATCTTGGGCTCAACTTGCCTGGGCCCACAGCCTTTTCTTGTTCAAGCGATTTAAGAAGGATATGCACCGCCTCCTGCCTTATTGTCACCACTGACAGTTTTGACACAGTTCTTGCAGCTAGCCAAGGAGGTTCCCTTGCTGGATCAGGAACTTGCATGTTGGTAGCAAAGTGTTCGGCAAAGAGGTCCGCCTTCTCTTGACTACTAGTAGAGGTGGTCCCATCCTGTCGATTTAGAGGTGGAATGAGTTCATCAGGCAGATAACCTTGTCTGTCCTTGACCAGGAACCACCAGGTTTTGGAGCCTTCTCTTCTCACCTGTCCTCTCCCCTCTCTTCTCACCTGTCCACTCCCCTCTCTTCTCACCTGTCCACTCCCCTCTCTTCTCACCTGTCCATTCCCCTCTCATCTCATCTGTCCACTCTCCTCTCTTCTCACCTGTCCACTCCCCTCTCTTCTCACCTGTCCACTCCCCTCTCTCTTCACCTGTCCACTCCCTTCTCTTCTCACCTTTCCACTTCCCTCTCTTCTCACCTGTCCACTCTACTCTCTTCTCACCTGTCCACTCCACTCTCTTCTCAACTGTCCACTCCCTCTCTCTTCACCTGTCTACTCCCTTCTCTTCTCACCTTTCCACTCCCCTCTCTTCTCACCTGTCCACTCCACTCTCTTCTCACCTGTCCACTCCACTCTCTTCTCACCTGATCACTCCCTTCTCTTCTCACCTGTCCACTCCCCTTCTCACCTATCCACTCTCCTCTCTTCTTTCCTGTCCACTCCCTCTCTTCTCACCTGTCCACTCCACTCTCTTCTCACCTGTCCACTCCACTCTCTTCTCACCTGTCCACTCCCCTCTCTTCTCATCTGTCCACTCTCCTCTCTTCTTTACCTGTCCACTCCCCTCTCTTCTCACCTGTCCACTCCCCTCTCTCTTCACCTGTCCACTCCCTTCTCTTCTCACCTTTAGACTTCCCTCTCTTCTCACCTGTCCACTCTACTCTCTTCTCACCTGTCCACTCCACTCTCTTCTCACCTGTCCACTCCCCTCTCTCTCATCTGTCCACTCTCCTCTCTTCTCACCTGTCCACTCCCCTCTCTTCTCACCTGTCCACTCCCCTCTCTCTCACCTGTCTACTCCCTTCTCTTCTCACCTTTCCACTCCCTTCTCTTCTCACCTGTCCACCCACTCTCTTTTCACCTGTCCACTCCACTCTCTTCTCACCTGATCACTCCGTTCTCTTCTCACCTGTCCCCTCCCCTTCTCACCTATCCACTCTCCTCTCTTCTTACCTGTCCACTCCCCTCTCTTCTCACCTGTCCACTCCACTCTCTTCTCACCTGTCCACTCCACTCTCTTCTCACCTGTCCACTCCCCTCTCTTCTCATCTGTCCACTCTCCTCTCTTCTCACCTGTCCACTCCCCTCTCTCTTCACCTGTCTACTCCCTTCTCTTCTCACCTTTCCACTCCACTCTCTTCTCACCTGTTCACTCCACTCTCTTCTCACCTGTCCACTCCACTCTCTTCTCACCTGTCCACTCCCCTCTCTTCTCATCTGTCCACACACCTCTCTTCTCACCTGTCCACTCCCCTCTCTTCTCACCTGTCCACTCCCCTCTCTTTTCACCTGTCCACTCCCTCTCTTCTCACCTTTCCACTCCCTCTCTTCTCACCTGTCCAC